CAAAGCAAGTGGGAACTATATATATATCACTAGGAGAAAAACATTGTAAACATGGCAGAAGGGAAGTAGGAAGGATATTTATATTATATTATATTATCATATTAGATTTATAAGTAGAAGGGATTTAGTACGAAAGGCGTGAGAGTGATCTAAGAAATATACTATAAAAGAGGTAGGGGAAATATATAGCTAACTCAGTACAAATAAAGCTATATAGATAATATAAGGAAAGATACAACAAGAAATATAACAAGAAATACATTACAAATAAAGCAGGAGTGTAACATAGTTAATACAGCACTGTATATTAATAGTAAGTAAGTAGTAGTAAGTATATTAATATTAGCATAGTTATTGTTACTGATATAACCTTGACGATACCACATGGCTGTATTGTGTAATCACATACATGTCAACCTATACGGAATGTCCGTAAGTTTTACGGATTTTCACCCATTTAAATTGCTTACGGGCGTACACCTAAAATCATACGGATTATTAACAAACTTGGCTCAAAATTTATTGCAGACAAAATCTAAACACTGACACTTTGACAGCCCTCTTGCAGTGCAAAATAAACACAGATGAATGCTGTGTAATTACACCAACTGACAGGCAGCTCCACGTGGCAAAAAGGGCTGCCTATGAATACAATCAGGAGCACCCATGATGATTGGTCAATCTTGATAATTCAAGGAAGGTTACTGCTGCTGCAGTGAATGAACGCAGACTAGAGACTGCAGAGATGACTCTCGGTTAATAAAGTGTTCATATTAAACTAATTTTGTTGTGATTTGTAGATCCTAAGGATTTAATTCTTATGGATTTTATGGATTTTTCCAGAAGGTTATACAGGTGGGCATCCGAAGGGGTTGACATGTATGTAATCAACGTCACGTCTACCTGCGGTCAACCAACAGTCTACCTCGTGTTTCTCCTGGTACTCAGACATGTCCAGCCGTATGAACGCCTTCTTATCGTCCTTGTGCAGGTAGTTTGCCACCTGCTTGGCCAACTCCGTCTTACCTGAAACAATCCCGCGCGTAATTGTGACCCCACGAAAACTCCCAAACCATGTGACTCCGCCCGTCATTTCTAATATACTGTCAAACTGTAATAATGTCATCA